CAGGGTCTGTATTGAGTGATGCCTAGAACCAATTGGCCGTCCTGGCATTGCAGTGACCCTGAACCCAGCCAAGATATGAGCTTATGGTTCAGAATTAAAAAAAAAAAAAAAAAAAAAAAAAAAAAAAGAAAGAAGAGAAAGAGCTCCTTCAGTAAAACATTTCACTGTTTGGTATCCTGACATTATCAACAAACAAAAGCCTTTTAAACATGTTAACCTGTAGGAAAGGAATATTCAGTATTTTGCCTCTTTGCGTCTATTTGGAACATCTTTCCCTCTGCTATCAAGGATATAATTTCGGTATTACTGACTCCTCATATTTGGGACACATGACACATCAGTTTAATGTTTTTCAGATAACATTTTTACCTTTCACCACAGATGAGGATACATGAGGCAGCATTAAGATATTTCAAGATTCTTGAACGAAGGCAGTAAAGTTTCATGTTACAAATGAGCGTCTGGCTGCCTTTCTGTTCGTCTGTCTGTCTGTCTGTTTGTCTGTGGCTGAGCCCAGATGTCAGCTGGTATGAAGACATCTGCCCTGCCAGAGGTCTAAAAGCCTTGTGAGCTGTTGATCTCAGAGGATACCACTTGTCTGCTGATGACAGGCTGGATACCGAGTACATCAGGCACCAAGTGACTAAATCCCACTGGATATAGACAAGATGGAGTGCTTTAAAAAGGACTTCAGAGACTTCAGAGCAAAAACAGAGACAAAAAGTTGCCTGTGGCTTCAGAAAAGGGCTGTTAATTCTGTAATAAGTTCAATATCAGATTTAAAGCTAAAAATTACATAACTTTAAACCCTGAAAACTTGATTTCAAATCTTAAACATTTCTCTGCAACATTACATATTTGAAAACTAAAAGAGTTTAACACTGAACTAGAATTGCCGCCTCACAGTTGCATGCCTCCAACAACCAGTCAAGGCCAGAGTAACCTTTGACCTTTGACCACCAAATTCTAAATCAGTTCATCCTCGAGTACACATGTTCAATTGTGCCAGATGCAATGAAATTCCCTCCAGGCATTCCTGATATATTGCATGCACAAAAATGGGACGGACATGAGGTTACAATGACCTTGACCTTTGACCTTTGACAACCAAAATCAATTCATCTTTCAGTTTGTGCCAAAATTTGAAGAAATTCCCTGACTTCCTGAGATGTCACATTCATGAGAAGAGGACAGAGACAGACAGACAACAACCTGTCATCAAGTTTTGATTCAAATGTTGCTACATGACATCACCTTTTTACATCTAAGCCCAACCCACTTCAAACTCAACATAAAATAACCAAAATTTGCTTCAAAGACAAAGACAACAGAGAAAATTGTTTTCCAGGACGTTAAAATTGTTTTATAATTAATGCCATCAAATATTACATGTGTCCCATCTGTGTTAAAAGTGCTGCCTTCCAGACAGTAGTACAAGGATTTATCCTCACAAGTCTCAGTCATGTCAAATTATACAACCTTTAAATGAGCTACTCTGTAATATTGTATGATAGTATCATGGCTTGTGAAGTTCAGAAAAATGGGATTTATTGTCTTTGAGAGGATCAGAGGAGCCTCCAGGCACCAGCCATTAATGCTTTACCACAGAGTTAAGGCACAAAAAATTTAATTATTGTCTTATACATCACTGAGACATGATGGTTCTAAAAAGAAAAAACACAGATGACAGCCTCATACAACTATTGTGAGCAGGGCACTTATTGGCCCCTTTGAACAATATAAACACACCAATTGCTGTACACAAACATGGTGGAACCACATCAAAAGCGCTTCAAGGGGATGTCACCACATGCGATCGCAGAGGAATGCTGCTGAGAACTGTCTAAAGTGATTAAAATGATGAGTGAATCTTTGAGCGGAGTACGGCTACACGCAATCGTCCCCAGCCACATCCTCTGCTGTGGCTTCGGCTTTTGCGTAAACATGACGAGAGAACAAGCGGTGACTGACAGCTGTATGAAGCGCGTGGACCACAGCTGTAACTGAATTATAACAGTAGCTTGTGTGAGCGACGTGCTCTCATCTACAAAACCACTAAAGTTATTTATCCAGCGCTCTACAACGTGACAGCGATACAACGAAATGGTATGTGCCTGACCACCGCGGAGTGCTCCTCATAATGCCTCAGATATATATCAGAGCTGTCACTCAGTGAACAGTCATTCATTGGAGGTGATGTTATTGCTCTTTTGCCGTTGAGCCACTTTGTACTGAGCCTTCAGCTATTCCCTTTGCCCTCAGGACTCTTGACTCTGGCGTGACCTGTATTTTGCAGACGCAGGACCTCAAAAGAAGAGACAGCTGCGATAGTATTCCTGCCTGTGTCCGTCTCCTATCATTCCAAGTGTTGCCCCTGGTCAGGCGGAGTCACTCGCAACCCCACACCCTTCGTCCAGCAGCCCATTCAGTGCCAATCACGGGGTAATATAACTGCCAGACTGTTTACGGACTGATAGCCTCCAATAGAGGGAGGATCAGGGTGTGGGGGTCTGATGCATAGCCCTCCACCAGCAAGGGCCCCTAGGTGCCCATTGATGACAGCTATCATTCACAGTGCAGAACAATGCTGGCAGATCGCAGATGCTGGGGGGGTAGCTGATGTCTGTGCTGATATCAGACAGTGTCGCTCAGAGGCTGCCTGCAGGCAAAACTGAGAGGGATGGTGACTTATTGTGATGGAATACATAAATAGATGAGTGAATATCAATAACAAAAGAAAGAAAAAAGATCCTCAAGATGTCCAGTGTGTACATTAGAGTATACGGCACTGCGGTGACAATCTAACAGTGGGTGTATTTAGGAGACATTTTTTGGAAAAACATCATCTAGATAAAGGAGACAGGCCAACAAGGTTTCTACAAGTGTTGTTGATCTTTCGACACAGCTTCCCCTCTTCATGCACTTTGCAAGAAGGTGGAGTTGTGCCAGAGCCCCTCCTGCACTCCTCGCACTGGAAACACAGCAGGTGTCGGACGACGTTTTTATATCCGTTATTTATGTTCTGCTTGATATTTCAAAATGAGACCATAAATACAAGTATTAAAATATGGCAACAGGATGAGCTGAAAGACAGTTTGAGTTTCAGCAGAATTGTATATTTTCTAAAGCCAAAACTGCAGGGAGGAGACGTGTTTTTATTTGATATGATTTAATTATTTATTTTGGAAATGATAAAAATGTTTTTTTTTTTTCCCAATAAATGTGTTTGACATGTTAATTTTCTTGTATCTTAGGGATGGTTTTGACATCAGAAACAGAAATCCTCTTCAGAAACTAAACAAATAAATAAAATGCTACAGCTGCACAGATATTTTTTTCTTTCCTCCTCTTTTGCTTTTCTCTTATTTTCACTCACTACCCATGCCAACCACTCAGTCACACGCTGACACACAAAATTATAGCTGTCATTTCTTACAAATATACAGCTCACAGCTACTACAGATGGAGAAGGAAGCTTTGATTAAACCAAATTCAAGAGGAGCTCTAAATAATGGCACAAATGTAATCTTACTTTAAGAGGTCACGGTTTGCTGAACATGTCAGTGTTGAACATTCAGTTATGATTTAGGTCTGGCAGAGTCTAGCAGAGGTCAGGATCTCAACGTTGTTTCTCATGGTCAGGAGTGAAGGATGAGGGGCATCGTCTCCCAGTGTGGACTGGCCCTCGCTTCACCACTCCATACAATGATGCATCATTATGTGTCAAGGAAATATGCAGCGCTGCTCTGATCGCAGTGACTGATGAGCTGCTACTGTGGAGATCATGGAGGGCAGGTATCCCATCATACACAGCACACATATAGTACATGGAAGCACTCACGTAATTTCATCCACTGAGAACACAGAGGATTAAAACCCAATCACCTGGTTCCTCAGTGTGGATACAGAGTCTGCTACTTTTAACTGTGTCTATACGCTTAAACTTAGGTAAACCTGTACTGTCTTTTTTTTTTTTTCTTTGCAACACCGATCAGCAAACATGTTACACAGATGGTTTCACTCTTCTAAAAGACCTCCATTAGGCCCATCAGGTCCTGCTTGTGTAGGCACCCAGTGGCCTTAAGCTTTGCTCGGCAGCACCTCATTTAGCATGTGTGTTCATGGATCCTCCATCCTTATGATTAAGTCTTTCATTCAAGCGTGAAGTAATCAGAAGTAAGCCAGGTCAGCTTAGCTGCCACAGAGAGCTCTGATCATATAGGGCGCCGTCAGTGCTGGATTTCCCAAGGCTTGATCATGAGTCCTGTAATAGCCAAGCAGGGAGTGACTGTATTGCATGCTAAGAGGTGTCATGGAGCTACATCTGTGGTACCAGGCATCTCCTGAGAAACCTGTGCACTGATGGAGATGTTGGTAAGAGATGAACTGCGATATTGGCCAGAGAGCATAAAGTCAGAAAACGAGAACAGCGTTTTCAGTTGTCCCCGCAGTGTGAACTTGACTCATGCAGCAAAAGTCTGTGTTGTCTGGGAGGGTCTAGCTCGAGGGAGAGATGGATGATAATGGTAGAAAAGTTGACACATAGAGGAATTTCCTGTCGTGTGGTGTTATCAGAAAAACAACAGCATCCTCCACTGTTTTACTTCAACCGCTCAAATTCAACAATGGAGTTGCTGATTAAATACTTGGGCTGCTGGCACAGAAGCCAACTGCTGATGTGAGGAGATTCCCATTCACTCAAAGAGAAAGGAGATCACTCAAAGACAGTTCAGCGGGGAAGCTTGGAGAGCTGACTGTAATGGATCAGTAATGTAGGCTCCAGCAAAGAGCCAAAAAGGTGTTTTTAATCAAATGGCAAGCTGCCATTGGTTTCAATCAGCCTGTGAAGAGTTTTCACGATTCCTACTTTTACTGCGGGCTATTTTTCAAACTTCATACTGCATCCTCTGACAGTAATGGAAAATGAACATGGGTGAAATGCTGAGGGGGTGTTTCAAAGAAAAGACTGTGAAACAGTGTAGGAGGATGTTGCTACTCACCATACTGGCAGCTGGGTCCGTTGAACCCTGCAGGACAGTCGCAAAGCTGAGTGGATCCCTCCAGACACTGGCCGCCATTGAAGCACACGCCGTAGCTACACACAGCTGAACGAATCCGTGTGGGCAGACGGGGCGGTAAGAGAAAAGAGACAGAAAGAAAAAAAAATAGGTGAGCGAAGCAGAGACACCTGGCTGTTGCCATGAAATGTCAACATCTGCAGTTTCAAACAATGACCTCTTTCTATCAAAGCCTTATCATCACCCTGTTAACTCCTGACTAAAGGAAGGAACCTTGAGTCTCCTTCATTCACACTAACCAATGTAAGAGGAATCCGCCGCTTGGCTCTTTTTTAGAAGAGAGACAGGTTTTTGGCCAAGTGGAAGAAACTTTGCTCTCATAGAACCGGAGTGTTTAACATGACTGGCAGCAACAGCCTGGATGACTTTTAAGGAAAAGTGGCCTCTTTCCCGCACAGTTTGAAAAATGTTACCTGAGAATGACCCGGACTGATTAGGTGAACTTTTGATCATTGTCACAAGCAGTGATCATACAGATGTGCTTATAGGCCTGAGAGCCACAGGGTGAGCGTGGCTCATCCATCTTTTGGAGCCAGTGGCCCTGCATCCATAAATCCCCACAAGTCAAACTGCTCTCACTCATTAAGAGGTGAAATTCAAAGAATCCAGGACCTATAAACAGTGAGAGCCACTAGGTAGCTCCGAACACGTGAATCCACCTCAGAAGTGTACCATCGCATTCCACACACTCACATTAATCATGACAGTCCTTCACCTACAACTGTGTGTGTGTGTGTGTGTGTGTGTGTGTGTGTGTGTGTGTGTGTGTGTGTGTGTGTGTGGACGTACTGTACATGTGTGCTGTAGTCCGCCTGCCTGTAGGCTTATCTGATGTGTTTTGAGGCTAACATCCCTGTGAAGTAAGACAGCTGTTTAAGCCAGGCCTGTTGTTTGCACTCTCTTGAGCAGAGTACAGTGCTTAGTGATGACAGCTCCAGAGGACTGATGTCTATCATTGCTTCTCCTGACTGGCAACATGTGGACACCGAGAGTGAAAAAGCCCGGTCCAGCTAATCACAAGAGGAATTTAAATGCCAGTCCTTTCCTCAAATGATTGAGGAGACGTCCTCTGAAAGCCAGACATGCATTTTTCAACCCATCTAATCCAACCAGAGGCGGCATAACCAATCATCACACCAGGTGCTGCCAGTTCTGATGCCATTTATTGGCCATATATGGTCATAGTGATGGTATCAGTGTGTCCAAGGCAGCTCAAACAGAAACAATGTAATTTCAGCGTGCGCCCATCTCCATCGCTTATCTTCGTTCTTAATGTTGCCATTTTTCTTGCTTTTATCATGTGAACATTTGATTGTTTTCTATTCAGTAGAGTGTTCAGTAGAAGCACACCCTCAACTGTCTTATTGTGCTTTCATTTTCAGTTCATATTTTATGTTTTTATGCTGCCTTGCTGCAAAAATAATTTCCAAAAGCATATTACAGCTAGGTTCATCAATCATTCAATAAACAAAAACATGTAAAGAGTAATCATTTTGATAATTGAGTTGATAAAAATAAATTCCCATACATTTGCTGGTTGTCACTTCTCACAGAGAGAGAGAGATTTGCTGCTTTTCTCTGTTTCATGGTGATTGTAGATTGAAGATGTTTGGGTTTTAGATAGTTGGTCAGATGAAAAAAGAAAAGGTTTTTTTTTTAGATAGATATTTTAGAAAAAAATAAAAAGATTGATTTCATGAACAGAGGTGTTACTTTTTAGTTCTAATCAGATCTAAATATCTACTTCAAATACTTTTAAACAGAGGCAAAGGTACAATGCTCTGTTGAGGAAATGAGAAAGTGCTTCGGGGTGTGAAAACATAAGCTGTCTCAAGTGCATGTACAGTCTGGCTTCAACTGTATCATGTCAGCCACAGGGAATAACATAACATTTCCAAGCAAAGGAGGAGGACTTTAACAAGTGATCTCTAATAATCACAGATGAGCCCAAGTAATTTCATCCATGTCTCTCAGCAGATTTACAGGACTCCTCGGAGACCAGCGCTCAGCCTAAACATCCGCCTGTCATCTGGCCCCATCCTCCGACACCTGCTCAACAGTTGGTCTATCAAGGGAGTCTACAACAAATGTCCCACACATACAGTACCAGTCCAAAGTTTGGACGCACTTTGAATGGGAAAGCGTGTCCAAACATTGACTGGTGCTGTATACACGCACACACACTGCACTCTACAAAACACACAAACATGTCTCTCTTGCTGTCTCCCACACATAAAACAGAACACCACAGCAAACATCATAAATCCATGTTGTGCTCAATAACTAATAATCCAACATTTTGCCCAATTTATGAATCCACTGAAATCCTACTCCGACAGGAAGACCATCTCACCACTGCTAATCTGCCCATGATGACTTCCAGTTCCTCAAGACTGTGCGGCTACAACAGGTATGATACAGTGTAGTGCTTCAGCATTCAGTAACATAACTAACATAACCACCTCTGTCATTATCTAATGTGAGGGAATTTTGATGTGGTGAAAGCAACAGATGACAGAAGAGCAGGGAAAAGAAAAGCATTTCTGAGTGGTCGGGTTTAATTGCACAGTTTCAACTAGATCCAAGTTCCTCAGGACAATGATATTACCACCGGCTGCGAGAGATCAAATTAATGAGACATTTCGAAATTGTGGTGAAAAAGCTTTAAATGAACTAAATCACAAGCAACAAAGTAAAAGGTCAGACGTCTCTCAGAGTCACTTCAGGGTAGCATGGCTAAGAGACAACAAGGGGGAATGTACATTCCCCCTTCTGAGATGTGAGACACACAGGATTGTTGGCAGCTAACCAGGGCATTTTTGGGCCGCCCCCATCCTGAGCCCCTGCTTAATCTTCCCTGAAATAATTCCTTAATGTGGCATGCAGTGTGGCATAAAACTCACTCTCATCTGTCGCTGTGAATGCCTCAACTCTATTACAAAGACACCTTCTCTGAGAGGATTAGCAGCTTCCACAAAAAGAAGAGACAGACAGAGCAGGGGTCAGCGACTCGTGCCGAGAAACTGAAAACCAATAAGCAGGTGTCACCCTTACAGCTTCTGAAGGGGATGACCACATCAACACAGAGGCAGCCCTGTGTTTGTTTAGGCTCCGTCGATCTGTTTAACCCCCAGAGTGCGACCCAGAGGGAGACCACATTTAGGGCAATTCACAGACACAAAGGCCTGCGCTCAGGGCTCCGTTTGGTGCCATAATTGGTACGCGTTGAGCCAAGCACTGTATTTTAAGGCAACAAATCATGTTTTGCTTTGCAGAGGAATGTGTCATTTCAAAGAGTGCCTGTGAAAACCAGAGCCAGCTATGTCAGATGATCTCTGACAGGTTTCTTTGAAAAGATTTAAATACCATTTGAGCTAGACACTAGGTCAGGAGGAACAGTAATGCTTAGCCAAAATGTCTTAGTGTGCTAGACCCCGCAATTAGAATATCTGGGCTTTTCCTGCATCCAGCATCATATTGTATCCTATATATATATCTATATCTATCTATCTATATATCTATATAGATATATATATAGATATATATATAGATATATATATATATCTATATATCACACTCCCCTTACATCCAAGTAACAGGATGAAATATTGATATGATACATTTCCTCACTTTCCCCCTCCAATGTGCCAGGGAAGTGAACAGTACATGAGTACATGCATAACACTCAGACTAAACAGGAAACATTTTGTATGTGCAAAAATATATGAAAAATTGAATAGCGACTTGAACATATGAGTTTTCTGCAGCCTCATTTATTCCACTTCCTACTCCATTGCATCTAAATGAAAAACAGTCTCTTGGCACTAAATGCACTTTCACTAGCTGTACATACTGTATAACCTTTATACCTAAAAACGTAACCATCCCAGTTAATGTGGCCAGTATAAAAGTTTGGTCTGTCTGTCCTAAAACCATTTCCCTTCTTGATGCCTGCAACTTGTTAATATTGCCTCTATCTGGCATGGACCCCATTAAAGGGAGTGCAAGAGCCTCGCATTTGCACCTAGAATAGTATTCGACAGCAGTTCAAGGGGATTTAAGAGTACTAATTTGAAAAACAAGCATCACTTTGTAGCTTACCATCCCAACTCATTTCCACAAAGCCCCGTTCACCGTCTTTGCAAGACGTCCAAATTTGCGACTGTCCAGCAATGTTATGCGATGTCTTTGGGTCGGTGTCTACTTCTTGTCTGAGGACTATGAGAGTCATGTTTGCTCGGCAGACTCATACTAGATAAAGTGTAATTCTACAATCTGTTCCCATTACAAGTTCTTCCAGTTAGCATGACCGGCATCAAACAGACCCCAAGTTGTTTAGTGAACTGCTATTTGCTCACAGCCTGATGTGTGACAGCTATTCCACAAACTTTGACAAATGCGGTAGCTTAGTTTTGAAGACTCTGGTGACCTTACTTCCTCGCTGCACATTACTCATTAGATCAAAAGGACTATGTCAGTGTAACCAGGGGCTGTATGTTGATGGAACAAACTATTTAAATTACACCCAGTTTAGTGTGTAATGCTCCATGTTATGTCTCTGTTGGTTGATTTCTGTCTGGATCTCTGTATACGTCTGGGTCTACGTCTATTTGTGTTCAGCTATGCACGATGTGGTCCCCATGACCGATGACATAGTTGTTGCTGTGTTCCCTGACACACATACACACGCACGAACGTGTACACACACACACACGCACGCGCGCACACACACACACACACACACACACACACACACACACACACACACACACACACACACACACACACAAAGACCACCCATGGACATACAGAGGACCATTTCCTCTTTTCTGGCTACTGGGCCTATTTCACATTTAGCTACCTTTGCCAGCCTGGTCCCACCACAAAAGGGGGCCAGTTCCTATTCAGCAGTTAACGAGGACGACAAACTGGAAGAGCCATTGTCCCTGCTCCTCAGCCCCTGTCACAAAGCTTATTGTTGCCATCAATCAACATAACTGCTTGTTTCCACTCCCGGCTCACCCCGTCCATCCTCACCCGGCCCGTGGCTACTGGCTGAGGTAAAAGGTTTAACCAACTGATTGAGTGGTCCTCGAAAACATTTAAGTGGAGGAAGTCGCCATCACAAAGTCAAGGGCTCTTCACCTTCGGGAGAACCAGATAGCCATCGAGCCAATTGGAGACTTCACAAAATACACAAAAGTCACCTCAGTTGTGCTTGGGCAGACTTCAAACAGTCCGCTCTGCCTTCACAAGGCACCTGGCCGACGTTCTGTAGACAAGAAGTCATTCGATGTATTGTAAAACCTAAACCTAAAACAAATGTAGCTCTAAGATCTTAAACAGGACAGAGAATAATTTTGATCATCGATTAATTGTTTTGCTCAAAGGTAATTTTTAAGTAAAAACGACCGGCTTCTCTAAATAAGCTCTACATCATTGTAAACTGAGTGACTTTGGATTGGTTTTGGACCAATGGTTTAACAAAATTAGACATCTGAGGACATCACCTTGAACTCACATTTTCCATATTTGTCTGACATTTTATTGTCTAAATGATTAATCAAGAAAGTAATTTGCTATCCCTATACAGTGAAAAAAAAGGAGGATTTCAGTTTGACTTTGAGCATTCTAGCAATAATGCTGGAAAACATCTTTAGTTGGAAAACAAAAAAACTCCAAATCTCAGATATTTGCCAACCACTCAGGAACTCTAAATCAAAGCTATTGTGTGAATGGAAAACGCATAAACCTTCATAATTAGATGATAGTACCCTGAAACAGAAATATGGAAAACAAGAGGGAGGGGGTCAAAACAGTGGAATAAAATGTGAAAATAACCAGACGTTCGCTGTGCTGTGGTACATTATTTCTCCAAGTATGCGACTAATTATGCTAAGACAAGAATGCTGGAGAGCACAACAACTGAGTCTATAAATTACAAAACTGTGAGAGGTCGTCAACATCTGCACAATGTGAAAATACACAGCTGAACTAAAGGAAGGACAAACTACTCAACTTGCAGCCACTTCTCACTTCCCACTGTGTGTCCTGCATCTACAAATCGATTCGACCCTCAGTTCTGCTCAACTGCCTCACAATAGCCACAGGTCATTAGCCTAATTTCCTTACACTGATATTTTATTAGGGAACACACACAGAGAAAGAAGGAAGAGTGACAACAAGTGCCAGACACTAAATCACTATCTCAACACAAAGCATTCCCATCTTCCTCATTTTACCCTCATTTGGGGGCTTTTCAGGGGATTTTCTCAAGCTCTAGATTTTGCAAAGCAGATTTTTCCTTTTGGATGTTGGAGGCGCTGTTGAAAACAGCCCCACAGATTGTATTGTGCTGACTGAGGTACAGTGCAGATAGCGCATAGCAAAGTGCGCAGGAGTGGGAGAGGGAGGATTGCGGTGTGAGCTTCCTTTTATCCTGGTTCAATGGCTCAGAGAAAAGGGTGATTAGTTTGTCCCATCTCAAAGTGCTGCCACGTCTTTGGTTACAGAGATAAAAGCCCTGCCTCACGTCGAAGAGAGCAGCCATTGTCACGCAAAAACAGAAACAAAACTCCCAACCACCACCACCACCCGTCTACTTAAGTGAGGGGGAGACACTGGGCAGTCCTGAGGGATGTCTCTGTAAGACATTTCTTCATGAGTGTTTTAAAACAAACCAGACTCCATGAAGAGTAGACAGTGCGATGCTTCCTTGTATAATTTAATACTGTAACCTTCTTTCTGGACACAAAGAGCTCTTTGAAGAGAGCACTGATGCCATAATAAGACACTGATGAAAAGCGCATCCAGGAGATCTTCTCCTGCTCCCCAGCCCAACCACTTCCAATCAGAGGGCTCTCCCACAGAGTAGCGTGTCTGTACCGGGGGTTTTGCAGGCTGGGCGTTAAGCACATAGACTGTTTCCAGGCAGGGCGCAGAGGACAGGGAAGTGGGAACTCACTTGTCAGTTAACCGGACAGGGGACAAACTGTTTATGGGAAGGCTTTGCCAAGGGTCTTTCTATGGTATGCAGGCTATGCAATCTGGATCACTGGCTGTAAAATCCCATCAAAGGAAGCTTCTTGGTCTCAGCGGTGTGAAGCTAAGCTGATCCACAAGGAGATGAGCTCCTGGCAGCTTCAGTGTGACCAACAGAACTACTTGTCCGTACATGGGCCTATGAGTCAGAGCTACGGTGGGAAGATTGGTTTTTGTTTTTCTTCATTCTGCTGATAGGTCCTGTTTTTGGGGGCTTCACTGTAATTGGTTGGGTATAAACTTGTCTGCTTTTTACTTCCATAATGCAACCCTCTGACCTACACTAATATGTCACACCTCTGAATGAAGGAGAGTGGCTTGACTGTGTGGATGAGAGCCAAGATTTAAACATGGGACATAGAGTTAGACGGGGAACATTTTGACCTGTACTGTGCTTTGTAAAGTAACTAGCCAATGCTAACTTCCAGACAGGGTATCCATCTTAAACTACAGAAGCGCTGCAGAGACATGGCCTCACTCAGATTGTAATTGTTTTTTATTGCGTGCAGAACAAGATACTGCGACGCAAATCCAATTAAACGGAGAATGTTAACACTTAAACTCTTTCAGCACTGGAGGATTATTTTTCCCCGCGTTCACATCTAAACCTTGTGGGACTGTTGTAACAACACAAGTGCTGCGGACATGGCACTGACTGATAACATCTGCTGAGGAGTCTGGATGGGCAAAGCACCTCTTGACCCTTTTGACCTCTCTCTGAAAACCTTTCATTCAGAGGTCTGTGCCGATGGTGAGGTGATGCTTGAAGCATCCTTTTCTTCTGCTGAGTCAGGAGAAGACATATTTGCCTCTTAGCAAACATACCTATCTGCACAGTCTCTCTGTTTCAGGCAAGAATGTTGCTAGTAAATGTGAATTTCTTTTAGCTTTTCAAGTGACAGAAAATAGGAAAATGAAGACACTCACGATAAAGACAACCAGCTTCTCCGTTAAGTTGAGACCATCCAGGGCAACACTTGTACACAGTCTGATAATCCTGTCTGTAGACTTGTCTGTATGCTGTGTAGTATGCCGTCCTGTTAAAATGGCAAACATCAAGTTAAAAACTTTCAATCAAACAACAGGTTGTAGTATTCCACTGTAAAACAGAGACCATACATATATACATAAGGATTATCCGACTTAGTATTTGGCACATATCATTCTCAATGTTTCATGTGGTTGAATATCAGCAGATTAAGAAAAAGAAATGTGTAATCTGTTCAAACGGCTCCCAGTCTTTTAAGTAAAATGCAGTATAATGTTCAGCAAACATTTTCCCAGACTCTTAAGGCACCGTTTTAAAAGGGTGAGACTGGCAGACTCTACTTCAGAGAACAGTGCCTATCCCTGTACTTTGGGACCCCACTCATTGCTCCACAATCATTACGCACTGTGGGAACACGTTTTTGTTTAAAGCGAGTAATTGTGGCTCTTGACTGCCTTCAAAGCAGGCTTTGACTCGGTAACACAGTAAGTAACGCAGGGTGAGAAAGCAAGTGTGAGCAGCAAAGTGACAAACCCCTCAAACTGACTCAGAGAGAGAGAGAGAGAGAGAGAGAGAGAGAGAGAGAGAGAGAGAGAGAGAGAGAGGCTAAAATGTTAGCATTAGGGCTCTCCTTCAAAGGAATGTTGGCCGCAGAGACGTCTGCGTGTTAAATAGATGGTGAAGTGGGGTTGCACCTTGCACTTAACTGTATGAGAGGTTCAAAGCAGTGATTACAGAACAAGAGAGAGGGAGAGATGAAGAGGGAAGAGGTATGGAGGAGGTCAGGGAGTCAGTCCTGATCTTGTTTCATACTGTTTGGAGATGGAGTTCAATGAAGTATCAAAACCTCTCTGATAAATTCTTTTGGTTGCATGACTCATGGAAACTACACAGAACCATTAATTAATGTTTTGCTGCGGCCAGAGCTTAATCAGCAAAGCACTACATCCCCTGCAGGTGAGGTTGGGAGTGTTTGCATAAGGACAGAGTCAGGGGCTTTGAGAGCAGAAAGGGAGGCGCAGACAGACTACAAATGAGGTGTATTACTCACCTTCTCTCGTATCCCATGCACCATGACTGCCCCACACAGCCTTGCTTCCACACTTTAACCATGCGTGTGAAGGCCTGCACACACGGCTGCCTCTGGGCAACCAGCGTCACCTCCCTCTCCACGCACACATTGGGCCTGGAACGAAAACCGGTGGTAAAAATACTTAACATGTCAAAATGTTTTTACTGTTGTACAGAAGGCAGCGGGGGGATTTATGAGCACTGTCAGAAATGGTGTAGCAAAGATAGATGGACAAAGCTTGAATGAGGCATTTTCTAGTTGTCGACGATGTAAGGCGAGTGAGGGCTTTACCTGTGTTGAGGTCTAAGTCTGCTTATGCTGTCTGGTTTTGGTATTTTTAGAGATTCAAGGGGGAATTCCTCATACATCCCCCTTCAGAACGCTGAGCTACAAAGCACAAGATGCTGCCTGTTGTTCAACTTAATATTCACCTGATGTGTTACCAGAAAGTCTTTTAGGGGGTACCAAGGACATGAAAGTGCAAAAAAGAAAAGTCTTATTCCAATCCAAAAGCAAAAACCAAAATAAAATTATAAAAAATCATAACCAGACAAGATCGAAATGTTTGAGATGAGGTCCAGGTTTGCTGGGAAACAAAAGCATATGTAATGCAACCTCTGTAACCAGTTACCACTTCACTGCGCAATATTTTCAAAATAAAATGAATAAAACAAAACCATGCCACAATTTTCCAGACAGTTCACATGAAACATTTATAGTGTTTCCACTGGAAATACAGGGGGAACATACATGTTTTCACTTGTATGTATACGAGACTGAAAGAGGAGACAGTTAACATTTTTCACCCTGAGGTAAAATACGGTAAACCTTCAACTGTGATGTTTTGTCCTTCTTACACAAAGTCTGTCTGAGTTAACGGGCTGATGTGCAACTGATGTCTTCACACCAGTCGCTGCACCGCACAGACTGAGGAGTCTCAGATGAAAAAAAAAAAAAACAGTGCAACAAGATCTCTGAAACATTTTCTCCTTTGGTAACTCTCCAAGGACAGACAGGAAGGCTCGGGCATATGGAGATCAGCAGGAATCCTAAGACAACATCCAGCTGCTCATCTCATAAACAACAGTAATCACCATCCCCTCCACCTGTACACATAATTGCATATGAAAGACTTTATTGTTAGTGGCAGGTAACAGCAGAGAAACTCTTCTCACATATTTCAAGCTATATATTTATTATTTTGGGGGTTTAAAATACCTGCTATAATTGACTGGTTCTTCACTTTGAAGGGCTTAGAAAAAACAGCCTCTGACAGAGTTAGGAATGCAGGGCAGACCATCAACATGGAGCCAATATATATAATCATGTAAATCACAGTGATATTATGCATGGATGCAAATAAAGACCATGACGAGAGTGCACAACATCAAATTGAGTCTTCCAGCATTTACAAAATAGATCTGTCGCCCAGATGCTGCTCGATACTTCTGAAACAAGAGGAAAATACTTCACGAGCCTCCGTTTTCTGCTTCTGGTTGAGTCTTTGGCACAAGTTTGTGCATGTGCAGGTGAAGCAGCGCTTTTCTCAAACTTCAAAGGAAATGTGAGGCTGTAAAAACATCTTAGTGAAAGATGAAGAGTAAACATCTCTAAAGAATCTGTTTACTAACTAAATATAAGTCAGTTACAAAAACATGAAAAAGGGTTACTCACATATAGGGTTGCAGGTTGTTTGCCATGCCATAACGCAATGTGTGAGCCTCATTCATAAATATTAGGAAAAAAGAAAAAATGACAATATCCATTTTCCTCTTCTTGGATTAGACTACAACTTCAAAAAAAATATGAGTTAAATGCAAACTCATTCATAAGTAGGACTCAGATGTTTACGAAACAAAAATCATCTAATAAATTAACAACCAAATAAAAGAAATCCAAGCGGTCTTGAATAAACTTAAAAGGCGCGTAAAGGATCTTCCGCGTGAAAATGACCAAAACTAACCAAAAATAACTCAGCCATCACATGCCGTGTGTTTTTTTTTCTTGCTCTCAGCCGGTGTGTGACACTGACTGAAAATAAACTGCAGCTCACCTACGCTTCCTCACTGCAGATGTTGGACTGACGGGCAAAGACTCACAGAAGCTGCGCGCTTTCTGCCTCCGTCCATTGACTTGGTAATGATGGCAGGGTGGGGGGTGGGGGGGGGTAGAGGGAGGGAGGGAGGGGGGTGCAAAGAGTGCCATCTATTATTCAGAGCTTCAGCAGCCTCTGGAGCTCACACAAGAAGACACCCCCGCAGCCTGCGAAAAGTGCAGTGACAAAACTGAGGGACATGAAAAAGTTTTCTTCTGGTTCAGATTTAATTGGCAGCAACCTGTGCTTGTAAGTTTTCTGGTATTTTCACTAGAGGCTTTTTATATGATGATATTCACTCCTTCCAACCATGTCGCGTTCATTTGGTTCAATGAGCGACTAATGATAAAAGGACAATGCGGAAAACCCGTGCGCACCGACCAACATTCGTGTGTTGACGCGCGCAGGTCTGCACGAAGGGTGATGCAAGCTACTCGTGGTAGGTGGGACCATCTAGGAAAACGGAGTGATATACAATCGCCCGTAAAGCTACAGAGGATGTTAGGGGTTGAAGCAGGGCAGGGTCTGAAGCAGCCAGTGGTCACTCTGCGGGGCAAACAGCTGATGTTGCGGTCAAAGGGTCAGCCGCCAGGACTGACGACTGCTGCTCTCTAAACAAAGCCTCCATTGCACGCATGTGTGTTCATGACCCCAAAGAGTCCCGGGTCACCGCTGTCCATGCAACCCTCCCAGGGAAGCAGCGATACAGCATGTTGTTTTAATTAGATCTGACATATCAGAGCTCATACGAGATATGTGTTGCCAAAGTTGTGACAGAGAACAAGGGTCATTCTTTCACTGCAACAAATGAGTCATATGGTGATGATTTGTTTGTGTTTATTTCTGGGCCCTAAAACACCATATCCATTGCTAGATTAAGGCCGTTGGGAAGACCATGACCAAAAATCTGCTGTTGGGACCCTACACTGACTCTGGTGCAATTATCTAACGTAAAATTCTGGAATAATATAAATGAACACATAAACTAATACAAGAACTTCAGACTAAACATGGACCTTGAATGTAGTTGATATTGTAGCCACTGGTGCAAATTGCCAAACAAATTGGGTAAACTTACATGCAGTCAAACTTGTAGCTACCTTCAAGAACCCTTTGAGTCAGGGGCCACAGGACAGTTGCCCACTTTGCCTGGCCTGGCATCAAAGACCCCTTATGGTCTCCGAACAACTGCTGCAAGTCGCAATACCAAAACACCATTCACGCCGAGTTATCAGCAGATTCTTTTAACCATGAAGGCAACCTTTTCCTACTCTTCTCCAGTGTGGCAGCTACATTGTGTTAATTAGATTATTCATAAATTCATTTGGTTATGTGCCCTACTAAAACACAATAAATATGAAAATTGTAAAACATAAGGTGGCCCCTGAAATGTTACCCAATATAATCTTGAGCCTCATCCAAGACTAGACAAGGACACAGGCACCCTGTGTCCATGTCTAGGTTTAATATATAGGCTTTATCAGTTGATACTATGGTGTATAATCTTAAAAACACTTCCATTAATACAAACTAAATTACAGCAAACCTTTAACAGGTATAAGTAGGTATTCCAGTGTAGAAAATACTGCTTGGTTTCTGAGAGTCTGGCAAAGACTGTTGAGGGAACATGTGTGTGTGTGTTTGTGTGTTGTGTGTGTGTATAGGCCCTAATATCACAAAAAACTGACATGTATGGTTTTGAGCTTGGATGCACAAAAACCACTTTGATCCCAGACTTGTTGGATCATTCTACATTTGTCCAAGTAAATAAAATGTACTTTTACTTACTGTACAGTGTTTGTTTTATCACATCTAACACATCTGGGCAGAATGCCTCAGCACATTGCTGTAGGCAGGAGAAATTAATGAGCATGCATTGTAAAATGGACGGTGATTTGCTGACACCCTGTGGTTAAAAATAAGAATTACACACTACGTCTCGTATGAGTATGACAAGTGCACTACATGATGCAACGAAGACACTTGAACAAATATTAACATGCAGGTTTAAAACGACAGGAAGCGGTCACAGATAACAGACTTTGAACTACCTCAGCTACAGCCAAGCAAAGAAGCTAACTACCCTACTTGCTTTTAAAAGCACACGTTACGTTTTAAACCGGTTGAGGAACTTTACGACGCTCCCTAATCACCATTTCCAACACAACCTTTGCCCTTCGTCGCGTAGCTCGCTGCAGTTTTGTAGCATGCAGTGGGTAATAACAGGAGGACTGTGCACACTACGACAGAGCCTCATAATCAGAGACGTGCTAACACATTTGCCAAAGTTGGTGACTCGTCGGAACATGTCGTCTCAAGCGAAACGGCCGGTTTCCTTACTGGGAACTATGGCGTTCGGTGGCCGAGTTGACGCCGAGCAGAGCCTGGAGATGGTGCAAGCTTTCCTGAGCAGGGGACACAAGCAGCTGGACACAGCCTTCATGTACGTGGATGGGAAGTCAGAGACTGTCATAGCGGGCATGAATCTCCCCAAAACAGGTATATCACAGGCGGGAATGCTAGATTCTCTTTAGTGAACAAAACTAACCAAAGTGTCCCTCATTAGTCAACGTACCTGCTGATTGGCAGACGGAACCAGCTTGGAATTATGGGAATTTAAAATGACCCAAAACCCCCTCCAATCAAAGGCCCAAGTAAACTATTTCTGGGCGGTTTCAAGGATAGAACCATGGACCATGTTGGGCTCCTATTGACCCCCAATACTTTCAGCACTCTGGTAATTGATGACAGTAAATTAATTGGTAACAATCTTGATAACTGATTAATAGTTTAAGTAATTTATTAAGCAAAGATGCAAAAATCTAAACATCCTAAATGTAATCTAATCTTTGGGTTTTTGACAGTTTGTCAGACATTTTCTCTTTTTTCACCAAGCAGTCAATCTAAAGGAAATAATTGTCAGACCTCTTGATAATAAAGATAATTTTGGTTGCACTTGTACATTAGCCTAATTTGTCTGAGGTTTTCTGTGAATTTGATAATTTGACACACACGAAAAATTAAGGCAATTTGATGAAAACACAACTCTGATAAAACAAACACTATACACTACAAGACCAGGGCTACAAGACCTGTCATACTTGATAATCAAGTGGTTCAATTTTTTGAAAATTTGACATTATTTAAATTTGTAGACCTAAAGGATACAGAGTAAACATGGGGTTGTGGCTTCCCTGGTAATCCAGCCTTAGATTAAACCTTGTTTTATGAGGCTACTTATTTTATTTGTAAGGGACCATGTAAAATATTAAACATAAATTTTACCATTTGATATATTGCAACAGGGTTAGCATAAAGCTCATTTCCATGTGCAGGTCATAATTCAAACATACACATAGTGAGAGACCAGCACTAAACAAACAGGATACATAATACATAATAACACACAGCAGTACTTCCCACACACCATGTCAGCAATAAATATATGTTAGACAAACATATTTTTATACAAAGCAAAACCGAGAAAATGTAGATTCAGTGGTTACGGAGTGGGTTAGAAGATTTATTGGATTAGCTATTAACTTCTAGGCAAAAATGGACCACATCGTTCAAACACTACACCTCCAGCTGTAATGCAGGCTTTCTGTTAAAACCAGTGAAAAAAAAGTCATAAGGCAAACACGATATAATCCTGATGACAGGGTCAGAAATTGCTGCACTCGCCTTTAATATTATGCATGTTGTCACAGAGTTTATATGATATACTTCCACCATGCTGACAATGTTGTGAGAGAACCCACAGTTCTGTTTGCTGCAATAAACGTTCATATGTCATATTTTATTTCATTGTTTCTGTGTGACAGTAAGCATTGCTACCAAGGCCAACCCCTGGGATGGGAAGACGCTGAAGCCAGAGAGTGTGCGCTCCCAGCTGGAAACCTCCCTTCAGAGGCTGCAGACCGATTCTGTGGACCTTTTCTACCTCCATGCCCCTGACCACCAAAACCCCATCCAGGATACCCTTAGGGCCTGCAATGAACTCCACAAAGAGGTAAAGAGACCAGAGACCTTATTTGCTATGAGTTAAGACTCTCAACATGACGTTTGACATTATTTCATTAAATATGATTCAATGTTAAAAAAAAAAAAAAAATCACCCTCAGGGAAAATTCAAGGAGTTTGGCCTGTCAAACTATGCATCATGGGAAGTGGCTGAAATTGCCACCATCTGCAGACACAACAACTGGATCGCTCCCACTGTTTATCAGGTATTCTGGCACTTATTCACAGCATTATAGTTTCATCTCAATCAGCTATGTCATCTTAGAGTAAAGCAGTTTCTTAATATACCATATGTCATGTTGCATCCCTCAGTATAAGTAGCTGTGTGTTAGAAATTGCAGTAGTTTATGTCACAGCAGTGAAGCATCCTGCATAATTGGACTTTCACTTCGATTTAATCTCTTTGACTGCTGCATCTTAACTTTGACTTTTACAACCTTTCACAGGGGATGTACAATGCCACTACAAGACAGGTTGAGACAGAGTTGCTGCCATGTTTGAGATACTACGGAATGAGATTCTACGCATACAATCCTCTAGCAGGTGCTGTTTATCTGCTGTCTGTGGTGCACCTTACAGTCAGCATTTAAATCATTTTACCGGAAGAAGATACTTATGACTGGTGATAAATGTGTCTAATGTCACATTAATGTTCTTGTTTTAAGCCATGCTAGAAGCATAAACAGTCACTTGGTCAGTCACTCACTTGGTCAGTCAATCACTTTGGTCCAGACTGGATGAATTTATTGACACACATTCATGGTCCCCAGATGATGAATCCTAATGTTAATGTAAGAACCACCAGCAGGTCAATATCTGAGAGATATTTCGACGTCCTGAGAAATATCTCAACATCGACTGTATAATTTGGCACAGACATTCATGGTTCCCACAGGATGAATAATGACTTTGGTGATTCCCCAACTTTTACGTTTGAGTGAAATGTCTCAACAACTGTTGGGTGGATTGCAGTCACATTTGTTCAGACACGGTGTTTGTCCTCCTCAGTATGAATTCTAATAACTTGGGGTCCCGTAACTTTTCCTCTGGCATTATCATCAGGTCAGACTTTTGATTAGTCCAGTTCTTTGGTTTTTATTGGAAAATCAAATGACCCACCAGCCTCAAATGCACTTTGTGTTTAGCACCAATTAACAAATGTTAAAATGCTTACAGACTAGATAAATGGTGAACGGTAGTAAACATACCTGCTTAACATCAGCATGTTAGCAAACACACATCACTGTAGCTTAAAGCACTGCCCTTAGTACACCTACTCACACTTGGCTGTAGACCCTTATTTTTGTTTTTAACTATGTTTTCTCAAAATGTAGCATGGAAATTCATTTCATTTTAAATATGAGTCATTATCGAGTACATAAATAGTCGAACCCTAGATTACATAAACTTGAATTCTGACATTACTCCTCCTCCACCAGGTGGTCTTCTGACAGGGAAGTATCATTATCAAGACAAAGATGGTTCCCAGCCTGCTGGTCGGTTCTTTGGTAACAGCTGGGCCGCAGCATATCGGGACAGGTGAACAACTTGTAGTTTGTTTCCAAAATTTTCCCAAGAACAATTAAGGTGTCTGTGGTGTCTGCCATCTGTACATTTGTATGTTAACTGTCTGTCCTCTGCTGTGTAAGATACTGGAAGGAAAGTCATTTCCAGGCCATAGAGGTGGTTCTAAAGGCCTTGGAGACGGTGTACGGCTCAGAAAAACCCACCCTGACTTCTGCTGCTATGCGCTGGATGTACCACCACTCCCAACTTAAGGTACCTGCTGTGCATGGAAAGCTGCAGTGACTTGAGATTATGTTCTTACAGGTGTTCATTTGGGAGAGATTACAATATATTATATGGATATTATCAACATTTTTTTTTTACTTTTCAGGGTAAAATAGCTACAGTATCTGACTATCAACAATATTTTATATTTTTACTGAACAAAGATTGGTCCTGCCATAGCACCCTATTCAGGCTGATAAGACTATGGTAAAATTTCAAAAGGCCACTGCTAACATCAAAAAGCTGAGTAGATACGAGCTAAGCTTGACCTTCCAACTAAAGTGCTTTTTTCATGTACTATCATGTCTTTCCATGCTTGAAACACACAGTCAGTGGTCAAAGCATAGCACTTTACCATTAAATACATACAATGATACTTCACAATGTGAGCACCAGCTTCTGTAGTATTGGCCACGTTACAGTTGGATTTGCATACAATTATCAGCATTATTTTCTTTCGGAAATAAACAAAGAGCCAGTGTTTTAAATGATATGGACATATTCAATTGTGCTGAACATTCTTTGTAATTTTACAGAATAATCTCACATAAGATGGCTAATTGTAAAATTATAGCTGGTCATAACTTGTGCAGATCATTGTTAACACTGAAATCCTATCACTTTTACCATCTGAAAGTGTCTGAGTTATTGTATATCTATACTCAACAATTCAGTCAAAGTTTGAATTTGATGCAGAGATGAAAATTACAAATTGAACAGAGACACCTTTGTCAACCACGGTGTGGTTTGATGGCATAATTTTTCCCTGACTACTGCATCATCTGCTGTTACAGGGCGATCTTGGAGATGGAGTTATCATTGGCATGTCCAGCATGGATCAACTTCAGCAGAACTTGGCTGCTTCAGAGGAGGGTCCTCTGGATGAGCGAGTGGTTGCTGCCTTCAATGAAGCCTGGAATCTCGTAGCCCACGAGTGTCCAAACTACTTCAGATGAGGACCCTCTTTTTTATTGTAGAGCCAAAATCTCCATTACAGTCCAATCAAATATAATTCAACTTTTTACAGAGATCTGCTAAAGCCCCATTCCTTTCAGTTACTTAATAGTTTGCAATTTTTTTTGTTGCATCAATTGGAAACCATTATGTAATATGCAAGAGCATTTCAGTGTTGATGTATAAATGTAAAAATGACAAGATATTTCTTCAGGGAGCAATAACTTTTTCTGGAGCCCGCCTTAATTAAACTGGTACATTAAAAAGATAACAAAAATTTCTGATGTCAACAAAATGTTTTTCTTACACATAAAATGCATCAAATGGGTATTTCTAACACATGAAACAGTATGTGCTTATTTGTTTTGGCTGCATGGCAAAGTACTTGCATGGAATACAATTATTTTTGTCATTACATTGACAAATCTTGACAAACCAAGTGGCATCAAGATGATTACATGTACAAGATTGTTGAGTCTTGGCTCCAGTCACCAGTGTCTCCTGAACAACAATTCAGTCCAAAGCTAAATTTCAGGGGGAAGGACAGAAGTTCATGTTTTGGGGTGAAAGCAAGACAGATGAGAGAGATTAACAAAGAGTCCAGGGGCAGAACAGGCAGTCAGGATGAATGGTTTCAACATCAATGTCCCTCTGGTGTTGAGGTTGGCAAAAAGACTTTTAAAAACAGACGTGTAACAAGCCCCTGCCCATGCCGATGTTTTATTCTGCATCGTCATCTTCTTCATCATCTTCATTCTCCTGCATAGACTCTTCCTCCCCAGCAAAGTTGTCAAACTCGCCTGTTTCTGAGTTCCACATACATTTGATTTGCACCTTGAATTCTGCCATCTCGATGCCAAAGAGTTTCTGTGGACAAAAAGGAGCAAGTTGAGGCATGTCAGTCAAATGCAACACAACACTGTATGTCACTGTGAAACAGTCACTAACTCACCAGAATACGAGCCTGCTCAGGAGACAGCACATCTCCCTCCTTACAGACCTCATGGTCCTTCAGCAGTGTTACCACTCCTGGAATAACAGCAGAAAAAATGTCATTGTTACATTCAACTGATATGAAGCACTGACTGTTAAAGGAACAATTTAACTGTTTATTTCTCTGCACTCAAACGTTTTTAATCTTGCCTTTCTTGAGAGCGGTAGGAAGTCCCAATTGCCTCAACTGGGGCTCCATTGAGTGAGGAAACTGTTCCAGGGGTCCCTCATCCAGAGTTATATCCATCTGTGCCTGGTTGCCAGCTCGCGCATAATCCATCTCTTTGAAATGATTGAAATACCTATCAATAGAAAAAAATAATTTAGAAAACGTATGGACAATATATTATTTATGACTGAAACCACAGTCTGTGAAGTGATACTTACTCTTGTACCTCATCCTTTGTTTTATTTGTGAATAGTACACCCACTTCCCCTCGTAGATATTTGCAGACCTGCATATTATCAAAAGGCAATAAAAAACTTCAAGTATATGCAATAGATTATTGTTGTTATCGTCACATTTTCTAGCTTGACATCTCCACTCTAAGATCTCGCCTACCTTGTGCAAATTATCTTTGTATTCATCTGTTTCTCCTTTACCCAAGGCGATCATCATGACTTTATTTTTGCCGAAGAAGAATCTGTGGAACAGAGAAGAGTCCAGTTAAACAGTTTCCTGTGACAACTGTGCAAGATTTGAACTTTCATAAAGTTGGGAGAATTACAAAAGTAAAAAATATTTTTAAAAAATGGAAGCAAAAGAAGCCAAGATATCCTGTTTAACTTCTAAATAGCTCAAGCAATCTACAAGATCTACAATCTTCAACTCATGTAATGTCACTTGATAGTGATTTAAATGCTATCCATACAAACTTAAACTGACCTCCATGGATAAAATCAGTGGAGTGCCCCTTTAAATTCACCTAAACGTCAAACCAACGGGATGGTTAAGGTGCCATTACCTGCTGTGTTTCCATGCTGTCCTGATGTCTTTCAGCTTGTTATTCCTCATATTGGCCACAGAGAATATGAACAAGTTTCTGTAGGTGTCCACACATTTCCGTAACTAAAACAACAAACAGGAGGAGAGTTTAGTGTGAAACATGTCAACAGCCTCAGCAAACTGATTAACATAATATAAATGTAGCTGACAGGAGACTTTGGCAGAAAAATCTCACCTCCTCGATTAATTTCTGTTTCAACTCCAGTCCTTTCTTGGCTGTCTTCGTTAATGAAACTGGTGGGAAGATCATGTGAAAAGCAGTCAGTCAAATAGCAATGAGTTTAACTTATTTTCTATGTGTGAGAGGGAAAAAATAAACACATAACACCAAATAGGGGCCATTTCACTGCTTTTATGCCATCTATACCACATCAGACCAGGTCTAGATCGAAAAACCACTAGATTTAAACTTGTCAACCTGGACCACATTACCTCAGACAGCCTAAAGACTTTTTAAAACACATTTTCACATCAGTGAAACCAGTGACTCAGAGGCTAACTTCGGTGCAATGTGTATATTCCCTGTTTCCCTCATCAGGAGAAGCTAACGTTAGCTTGCCCCCCTCACTTACGTTAATTTTCTGTTGTCGCAAACAGCTGCTACATACAAGAAACCAGTAAACAAGCTTATTCGCTCAATGTGTTTGTACATAACGCAACTTGAACGGGTATTTTCTTACTTTTCTTGTCCCTCTTTGACTTCGGCATGGTTTCCTCTCACGATGGCAGCGCAGCAGACGCACACGTGAAGTAAAAGGCCCCCAAATGTTTCTGTTTGACGAGGCTGACCACGAGGTGCCTGAGTCAAAATAGAATAAGAGCATAAAATATGCCTAACGACTTTTTGAACTGAAATATTTGTAAGTTAGCGCTGTTGCTACTATGCTAAGATGTAATACTGCTCCTAGATAAGTGTATACATGAACTGAATTGAGAGTCATGGAGCTTTGGCGTTGTTTCAAACTAATATTACTCATAAAGGATCTGAGACGTTTTCGATAAGCGCTACTGTACATGTGTGTACGTGTGTAGTGCTCTGCCGGATAGCTGAAATGAGCTAAAACAGCCTAAAGTATTACCGATTAATTAACAATATTGGACTTCAGGCACCCGCAAATTCACCTATGGGGGGGGGTTACAGCATCTCCATTAAAACCATATGTTTTGTGCATTTTAACGTTTACTAATTTATGTTACATATGCACCATGCCAGGTGGCTGTCATTTGTCTGAAGGGATAGGGCTGAAGAACGGATTAACCCGCTAGGGGTCTCTGAAGCAACAACATGCAGGCTTCATGACACTACAGTCAAGAAACTTATTTACAACTTGCTCAAGCAGATGTATAAGTGTATCATTATCGTGTCACTATCAGAGTACTAGTGGCATCAGGAGAGTTATTTATTTGCCCTGGTTCTGGTAACAAAGTTTTGTGAAAAAGCTGAAAAAAATTCACAATATGTATCACACTTTACAGTGATGGCGATATACCCTGCCACTGCACATATCCTCACCATGGAGTAAGATAAGATGATATGAGATAAGACTTTATTGATCATCCGGAGGAAACTAGGTAGTGCAGCACAAGCAACAGACGAGTTAAGAATTAATAAAGGACAGAGCAGAGTACAGTAAAAGAATAGTAAACCATAATTAGAAAGTTAAATAAAAGTATAAAATAGTACAGCAAACAATAGATAGCCTATAAAAACTATACAGTTAACTGAAACAATATACAGTTCAATACCTTGGCCAGCATGAAATGTGCCTTTTATGTGTTAATGTATATGCACTTCTACAATTACTGCAGTTTCTCTGTATTTCTAAACAGTGACATACAGTAGATATGTGTATTTATCTAGTCTATATAGGCCATATATATATTTAGGTATAAAAATACAGGCTGTTATATATAATATATAGGCTACATATCAACATCAGAAAACTTTATTGTTCATTACAAGGGAATGGGAATTTGTCTTAAGGGGCTCACAGATAAAAAGGACACATAGTGTAGGTATAGTATCCTACAATAGGCTATATAATAGGCCTATTATAAGGGAAAATTCATAATTCAAAAGTTTAATAATCCACAACATGACGTGTCTCAATCTAATGTGTAAAATGAATTGGAAAGACATTGTTGTTACAGTCTACTTTATCCTATTAATTAGGCCTGTGTTTATATCTGTCAATGCTGTCTATCGGAGTGAGAGAGAGAGGGAGGGAGGTGGGAGGTGCCGATGTAGGTGATAGTGCCTAGTTTAGCACTTTGCAACATGATCCGTGCACGCCACAGAGAGGCCGGGCTCTGCAGTCCTGCATCCTGCCGTTTCACCGCACCACATGGAAACTGAATAGAGCTTTCGAAAACGGGGAATGATATCGAAAGGAGGTGGACCGTTTTCCTCTGTCGGCTGGCTATATGAACCCGCACAGCATCAGCTGCTCCTGACAAAGCAAAGGCAAACACAGAGATGAGGGCGACGGAAAGTAATGCTGGTGCTTATTGCGGTCTGCGTCAAACCACTCGCTGCTTCAGGAGATGATGCCCTCTGTGCCTCTTAAAGGACTTTCTGGGTTTACTATTCATCTCTTGTGAACACCCATGCTGCAGGGGTCCATGTTAGTATCTCGGGGTAAACATCCAGCAGGGACAGTGATGGCCACCCCATCTCCAGCCGCCCAGTCACTCTCAGCATCTGCATTGTGAGGAGAAACTCGTCCTGTGGGAGTGGGATTGTGAAGGAATATGCAGGGATAAAAAAACAACAGTTTTTTGTTTTTGCATCCAAACCAGACAGAGCCATAGTTGGATTACCGGGTGTTGTTGTTTACCAACATGAACTCTATGTTTTTCTCGGACACTCCGCCCGGTCCGGTCTGCAACGTCCCCACCGGGTCGACCAGCGCCCTGCGAAATGACCTGGGCTCCAACATCCATGTGCTGAAAACGCTCAACCTGCGATTCCGCTGCTTCCTTGCCAAAGTCCATGAACTGGAAAGGAGAAACAAACTGTTGGAGAGCCAGCTGCAGCAAGCTCTGCAGAGACCGAAGTACCGCCACCTTTACACCCGCGAAGTTGCGGTGCAGACGGACGGTCCCGAGTCGCGACTGCCGGGAACCATCTGGAGTTTCACCCACGTCCGGAGGCAAGGGGAGCGCCTTGAGACGGTGCATGGGCCCGGGGTGACGTGGACGCATCCGGACGGAGTTGGGGTCCAAATAGACACCATTACCCCAGAACTGAGGGCTCTGTATAACGTGCTGGCCAAAGTCAAGCGGGAGAGGGACGAGTACAAGAGAAGGTGAGTGAAGTCAAACTAACTGTACTGATGCGAAGCTCGTGTTCATTTGCTCTTGGTAGTTTTATACACTAAGTTGGAGATGTTTTTTTTTTTTATCATAACACAAGCAGTTTTAGGCCACAATACATCCTAATTTATATGACCACGTATAAATCATTTGCAGGGGAATAGCAAGGAATGAAGGGTCCTGTAAGGGTGTCACCATGGGCCCGTGATTTCTTGTCAGTCAGTGGGCCTCGCTGCTCTCACATTAGCTACACAAAACTGAAAATAAGCACAATATGTCACTACATAGCCACCATAGGCCATCACAGACACCCTCAGAAGTCCCTGTGGGGTTCAAGATTCAAGCAATTTCTAGTCACTCAATTGTAAGAAGTTCAAGGGCGGGTTGACTCATTCAATGTAGATGTCGCAGTTTATGAGCCAAGAAGTTGTTCTAATGTCGTGCTACATTAGATCTGGACACATAATCAATATTGCTTGTGGGGGTGTGGTAAGGCGAAGGGTTAGGGTTAGGGTTAGGGTTAGGTTAAAGTCATTTTTAAACAAAACTGCCAAAACATTCACTGGATCCAGCTTCTTCATTGTGATGAATTCCTGATTGCCTCTGTTTTATGTCAGTCTATGTGAATATCTTTGGGTGTTGGAATTTTGGTTGGACAAAACAATTTAAAGATGTCACCTTTGACTCTGGGAGAACATGGTGGACATTTTTACAGTGATTTCTGAGTCAGTTGATACACCTGGTAGGTGTCATTGTAAAGCTGTTTTCATCTACCCGTCACTTCATCACTTTTCACTTATCAGTGTTCCTTTTTCTTCCCATGTGGTTGGTGATTGGCCAGTGTCTCCAGATGCTCATCAGACAGTATAGTGGAGAGATGACACACATCAGAGTGATAGAGTTGCACTTGAGGTAGTGTTTAACATGAGGGATGTCAGAGCTGAGCGTCTGCATAGCATTTACACAAAGACGTTTCTCGTGGATTAAACTGATCCTGTTTCTCACACAGTTTTGAGGAAATTCCTTTGCATGGCTCATTCTCCACCAATTGTTCATCTTCTTTAGTTATATTAATTGCATTTCCTTGAGGACTGTGCAGAGTCCCCAGCTGACCCACATCACTGCTGGCCGGCTTGGCTGGCTACCGGAGGGAGACATGCCAAGCAACCGCCTGCTTCTGTTTGCCGTCATGACTCAAGCCGAGAGGCATTTTAACAGGCCTCTGTCTGCTCGGTGAGGTCGGCTATGACGAATGCCGACTTCCCACTGAGCACACTGACTCAGTGACACAGAATGTGTGTGCTCTCCCACTCCTCTGGGAAACTGGATATCCTGTCCAGTCATTCCCAGTAACCAGCATATCCTTTTTTGTGCACTTCTGTCTGAGAAGATGAACAGCAGTGGCTGGGACAGCAGCCAAATTAAAAACTGCTGCAGCTGAAGTCAAAAATTTGGATCCCCTTTAGCAAAAACAGGAGCTCTTGACTTTATAAGTTATTGAAACAGCCATCCCACTTGCTTTTTAATGAGGGTTTTAGTTAGCAGCAGTGTATGCAGTTACTCCATTTTACATATTCACTGTATGGTTGTACATGTATGGTTATGCCTTCAAATTGTTGAGTTGTTGGTAAACAAAAAAAATAGAACAAGATTTCTATACTTTATTCAGTATGTGCACATTGATAGGCATTATAGATGTTGTGTTTACATCATTATTCATCAATGACACTCACAAGCACCAGTGTCCAACATGTTCTTTGCAATGTTTTTACATGAGGAGAACCGTGGAATAAGACACATTCCTAGCCTCTGTTTATTGGCCAATAATCATGGTTATCAATCTCTTTTCCTGCCTGTCTCTTTCCTTCTGTGCTCTGAGCTCAATAATTGCATCACCACTGAGTTCACTGCCCAGTTGTTTTCTCTCTGACTCCCAGTCTAAATCCTCTTTACTACAGTCACGTTTCAGCATTCAATCCCAGAGCCTCATCCTGCCATGGCTTTTCTCTTCTGTGCTCTTTGTGCTCAGCCATTCCTTCGTCCTTCACTCCACTCCCCCAACAGCCCCGCTCCGCCCCTCCGCTCCTCTATGTGTCATGCAGACTGCTTTGTAAGGCATCCTCAATCCCGACGGAGCCCCCCCCCCCCATCCCACCCCGTCTGTGTGCTCCCACACCGCCCTGGTGATATATTAAAGCTTTACGAGTGCGGACACACACACAAGGAGATGGATGACCAGCTTGTCCATTTCTGATTCGGCCACTTGCCTTCACACTATGAAGTGCACAGTTGTTTACTTTCTGTCGTTTGACAGTACACCTCTTCCTGATCAAGAAACTATTTTCTGAGGCGAAACAGCGTGATTTGCCAAACATGGTTGTATATGACACAATCGCTTATGAAGTTGTATTCTGAAGTTAGCTGATATGGGTGCTTGAATATATGAAAAGGCACTAGCGTAATGGAAAACAAAAACTTGCCAGGATTATACAGAGAATACAGATGTACAATATGTAACTACAAATGTAAAAGCTCAGGGGCCAGATTCACAAATATGTTCCCCAGGACGAAACTCGCAATGTTTCTGAAGAAATTTAGGGAGTTGTTAAACTCTTGACCCCTTGGTTTTTATTCCTGTGAAAAAAAAATCCTCTCTCCTCTTCCTTTTTCCTCTTAAGAAACTTTAAAGTTAGAAAAAACATTTTTACATTTGTAATGCAACTACTTAAGAGACTTTTCAATTGATAATCAATGATGAAGTTTATCTTTAATTAGAAACATACGCTTTTAATCAATTTAAAGGTTTAATTCTTTGCAGGAAACGAGCACCAATACTAAAGGACTATTCTGTGTGGTTTGACTGTTCTTAATTTCACTCTTCAGACAAAAATCTTTATTTTTCCTTCATATTTTCATATGAATTGTTTTTTATGGGGTCTTACAGTGTTTTTTGTAACCTCTTGTAAGTTTCATCATATAGATAAAGACATTGTCACAAATGAGTAGAAACAAGGTTCTTGTGTGCTCTTTATTTCCATTCAAATATTTGCTCAATCATATATGTTATTGGCTGTTTTTCTGTGCTACAAACCATGTCCTTAATTATATTTCAAAATCAGGAGCTCTCCATTATACAATATGCTTTTGGTAGAGAACAACATGGCTCTTTCAAAGTTACTGGGTGTACCTCTTGTTCTGGGAAAGCTCTTAAACCGATTTAGTCCAGATTCTCAACGAATTTATCCGAATTATTTGGCTTTCAGAACACTGTTGTGTTCATGCACCACCGCCAGGCTTCATAAATCAGACAGCCAACTTAAATGAAGGTCCACTTAGTGCCTCAGTGGCTGGACTGTGAGGTTACATACCTTTCACACTGACAAGCGACCATGAAAAGGAAAGTGGGCAAGGTCAACGCCAGTGTCCTCAGCCATACTGTTTTTATTCCACTGTCTTGCATCACTGTGAAATGTATCACTTGGGGGTCAATGAATCTCTGCCAGTTATTGCCACCAACATGCAACGTGCTCAAGAGGCCATGAAAACAGAGGCTGGCGTTGACGAACATATTTGACAGTCATGGACGATGAACAGAAACTGTGTCCGACAGCTACCAAGAAGGCAAAGTGCTCATTTGTTTAACATTTACATGTTATACTTTTGGTGCAGAGATATAGCAGACAGCTTCATCCACTATGCAGATGACTGCACAAACAGACAGATCTGTGTTAAGAAGACAGCAGGTATACTTGCAGTAATATGAAAATATATTTTCAGAGAGCAGTATAAATAAAGATAGGGATTGTTCATTGTTCATTTAAACTGATATCACTGTAGTTTACATGAATTTCTTTGGAATAGAGGTGCTGTATGAGGTAGCTTCTACTGAGCGCACAACTAGTTTACAGTATTACGCCGGTTTTTTAGGTGCAACGCTCACTGCAGTGTTTTAGTCATAAATTATCATCATCATATCATCATCCTTCACTGAGCAGAGGCCAAACAACTGTCCTGCTGGATCACAATGTGGGTGATACTGGTAGGGAATCAGAACAGTCTCTGGGCCTCCTGGGCATGTTCTCCCTACATGAATAATTCACATACAGCTGAATTTAGCCATGTGTGGATCAATGCATTGAAAATTCAGTAAAGACTCTTTTTGGAGGCTTTGATCTCGCTTCCTGTGCTTAAGAGAGGTGAAAGGCGGAGTTGAGAATCTCTTTTGAAACTAGGAGTCGGGCTTGTCGTAATAAATAACTAACTAATTACTAATTACAGGGTGAAGTGAAGTGTGATTCCAGAGCAGGAGGCTACATTGTATGTTTCAAATATCATATTTCCCCATGAAGTGCAACATGCTTCACCGATGAGCTCTTCGGCCTCTCTCTCTCTCTCTCTCTCTCTCTCTCTCTCTCTCTGTCTGTCTTTGCTGCTGACCTGCCCTCTATATAATCCAGGCCGTCTATTCAGGAGAGGGATTTTCTCTAAGCCGTCACCTAGCACCAAGGCTTGAGGCTCCAGCCTCCAGCCGGCCCTGCACCACATCCTGGCACGCAGCCGCTGCACTGAACTGGGGCCTCTTGAAGTGGAAGACGTCCTGCTGCTGAGCCACAGTGTGTGAGAGAGAGAGAGAGAGAGAGAGAACTAAGACCATTGAGCTCCCGATTAGAGTTCATATTGTGTCTCTCTTCCTCACTCTTCCTGTCTGTGTGGTGCTCCTCTCTTGAGCTCACAATGTGTTTTTGTGTTTTTCGAGGTCATTTACACTCTCCAGTCTTACTATAAGTCATCGGCATTGTTTAGACCAAGAGCTCATTTTGTAGATATGATCGCCATTACAAACTTGGGTTGTCCTCAGAGCTTATTCCTGACATACATTGATGGCCAAGAATTATATAAAAAAAAAAAAATACATTGCAGTGAATCACATATACTATCCTACTGCTACTGATTGCACAAGTAATTTACAGTATTATGCCGTAAATACTCACTA